TAGTAATTTTATTTATTAGGTGCATCTGACCTGTTCTATTTTTCTCTGAAATGAGATCAAATCAGTGCTTCTATGGGTTGTCTCCTCTCTGCACTAGAAAATTTACTTTATTATAATGTTCACTGTAATGCATCTTGACATTCTTAACAAATAAATTAAATCAAAGATATTGGTCAATAATGCCAAATATGTACATTTGTGTTTCAGTCATGTTTATACTGGCTTAAAAATACTTCATTATAATTAGCAGGGATGTAGAACGTTTTTAATAGGGCCAGCCCAGTAATGATCTTGGACCAAAATAAAGGGGGCAGAAAGCCAAATAAAGGGGGGCAAAAGGAGATGTTTTTCCAGACGCCAAGAAAAATTAAATGCCAAATTCCCCCTGCAAAGTGTGTCACTGAGAGTTTAAAACAAAAATTATTCTTGTGCAAATATTGGTGTAGGTGTATTCACCTTTAATACTAGTTATTAAAATGCAGCAGTTGCTGGATTGGTGCAATTCAAAGTGGAGTGCAAAACAATATTAACATAAAGGTGAGACGTGTCATAATTCCACCAACACAGCTGGATAAATTCCAAGGGGAACACTGTTCCATCTTAAAAAAACTCCCACCCACTGCATTCCACTGTGGAGATGATGGACAGCTCCTTCAGAGGCAGACTTGAGACATCCCAGATGTAAAACAGAATGCTACCATAGGTCATTCATCCCCTCTGCAATAAGAGTGTATAACTTCTCAGTGAAAGCTGTACTTGCATTATCCTAGTATACAATAACATCAATGCAATACTCAGAAGGTGATCAATACTTGTGCAACACCTGATTTACATAGTACGTCTGTGTCCCTTAAAGTATGCTGCATAGTTCTGGAACCCAAGTTACATTTTTTCAGTAGTTTTTTTTAATAAGTCAAAGGGTACAATGATAGCTTACTGCCTATGTGTATATACATGTATCTTTGTTATTATAGTTCTTCAAATGATTCTCTATACAGGGCAGGGGAGGGACTTAGGAGAAAATTGAAATATTAAAGATTATTTACTTTTTTAAATAAAATTGGGTCAGATGGTCAAAATCAAACATTTTTAAAGCTATTCTACATTTAAATCTTACGGACCGTGCCTTTAAGTGTTGGTGCCGCTGAAACAAGTGACGTGAATTTCCCCACTGTGGGATCAACAAAGTCTATATTCAAAAGTTATACTTAGAAGTGCAATAGGGTAATCGCGAGGTCTGCATCCAATTTGAATCATTTATTTTTGTCGAACATTCTTTTCCTCCGTTTAGCTTCATCAGATAAAAGGTTTTCTTTGGCCTAGTCCACACGTAGCCGGTTTTTTTTTTAAACGAATATCCGCCCCTCCAAAAACTTGCATTCACACCACCTCGTTTAAAAAAAAAACTCTGTCCACACGTACCCGGATAAATACGTTGTTAAGGACATGCCAGACCTGTAGGCGGCAGTACTTCCCCCGTTCTTAACCTCGTCCTTCGTCTGTGGTCTTCCGCAAGGAGCAGTAATTCCGCTTGCAAAAACAAACAAGCAAAAAGCGCTTGGACAATTGATAAAGCGAGCGCAGCTCTGAGGGCTAGCGGCTAGTGTAAACACAGGTCGCATACATGATGTCAGCATTTTTTTGTCGCGGAAAGTGACGTTGCGGACCTTAAAACTCCGGTTTTGTCTGTCCACACGCAGACACCCAAAACGGAGAAAACGCAGATCTTCACTTTGGCCGGAGTTTTTAAAAAGATCCGTTTTCGTGTGAAAAAACTCCATTTTCGTGTGGATGACAGGCCAAAATGTAGAAAAATATCTACGTTTTGGCAGATCCCCGGCTACGTGTGGACAGGGCCTTTGGCTCATGGCTCGTAAATTCTGAGGTGTACACATGGATTGCTATAAAGTGTTGATGCTTCTTGCGAGATACGCGACTTTGTGTGACTTCAGGGCAGCGGTTCGGAGAGACTCAAGTTGCAAATGTAGCATCTTCCCAAAAGGAGCGGAAAAAGCCAAGTGACTTTTCATTCACCTTGCAAAGGGTCGTTTTAGCACATACTGGCTACAGAAAATGATTTTCAAGTATGAAAAAGGTACTTAGTACGCCTTTAAAACACAGCTGAGCTCCATCTGTCTACATTAAACTCCTTCATTCATGATAAAGCACCAAAGAATGGAGCCCACTTAGACACAGCTGGATGGTTGGAAAGGAAGCTTGATATCATCTAACAGTTCTGATCATTTATATTAGTGCAAAGGAAATTACTATAAATTAAATGGCTATCAGGTTTTGTGTGTGTGTGAATGACAAAAATGTACTGTCCCTATCAAGATCCCAGTTCTCTTGTTGGATTAGAAGACAGAATAAGTCTAATACGACTTAAAGTCAGTGTCTGTATATCTGAATTTGGCATTCTGCAGAAATGAAATAATTTCTTTTTAAATTGTAGAAAGCTTTTAGAATAGCCTGTTTGGAAAAGCAGACATCAGTTCTGAAAGATGAGCTAAAACTACTGACAGTAAGGACATTTACAAAGTCCCTCAAATTAATCAAGCTCGTGCAGTTATACTAACCTTTACCAAGCTGTAGATTTCACATTTTATGCCAATTTTTTCACACTTATTATGAAATTCTAGATGGAAGAAAGTGGCTAGAATTTCCACAACCCAGAGAGCTTCATCTGAGGCTAACTGCTACACCCTAAGTGCATAAGGAACACTCCTTCCTCCCAGCAGCTGTTACGCTCTATAACCATCACAACTACCAACAAAACCCAACCTCTGCATTCCTGCTGCTTTTTGTTATTTTCACAGTTTCTACTGTCATTCTACCTGCACACCGTACTTTAAATGTTGTAAAGGTAATTCGATCTTTCAAAACACTTTTACACATATCATGTATTGCTGTGAGTGTGCTCTTTCACCAACATGTTCCCACTGAATGACAATAAAATAATTCCTATTCTATTCTAAAATGATACATGAACATGCAATGTCAGATCTGCTCTGAAATGTTTGAGACTGGAGTGGTTTTAGGACAGCAGAAACACTTTCACTAAGATTAGCATTGAAACACGTATCTGTATCTCCAAACTGAGGTTTTTGAAAGGTTCATCTACCAGAAACACTCTTCAAAAGACCCTGAAAGGCTAAAAAGCCTGTTCGTTACGTATTGTGGCGGATGGAGAACACGCTCAGGTTAAGGTTAACTGCAGACTTGAGGGTGATGTGAGCAAAAGCATCCTAACGCGTGAATCCAACAAGTCAAACAGCTGTAATGCTCTGCTCATTCATTTAGGACCGCAGCTTTAGGTGGGCCTCATCACAGAATTGTGTCAGCTGTGGAACGTGAATTAAAAGCTGGGTCACGCTGTTCTTCTTGTGTGTGTGTGTGCGCGCAGCCAGCATCCTCACCCGGTAGCTGCTGCTCACCTGTATTTTGACGATGCCTTGCCGAGAGCCACTGCATCGGTTCCGCTCTCCTTCCCATTTCTTCACGGATGTCCGTCCACCCGCCTCGGCCCCGCTTTCCCCGACGCCGAATCGGGGTCGGGCGGATGAATCCTCGAATGCCTCAACGTTTGAATTAAAATAACCGTCCAGACGTCATTACAACAGAAAGATGAATGGACACCGACAGACCATAGCCTCCTCGGTTATCTGTCGGTTCAGGCTGGTTACCTTCAACAGCGGCACCGATCACACGGACGTTAGTGAGCGCTGGGAAGTGACAGCTCGGCTTCTCCGCTTTTAACTGCAACACGTCTTCGGCTGTGACTCCTCAGAGCGGAGCTCATTCCCGTTTCCTTCCGTCACAGCCAGCGCATGACGAATAGGACAGAAGATAGTAAGTCCCTCGTGTTTCACGACCGAAAAAGCGGGCTGTTTGGGTTTTCACGGTGTAGTCGAGCGTACCGCTGACCGGAAAACTCCCGAATCCCGATGCGGACACCAGCTAGAGCGAAGCGAAGGCAGCATTTTACGACAATCGTGCCCATCCCCTGGGACATTTTCTCACCGAAAAATTACGTACGAGTGAGCTATTCCCTCTTCCGCAGAGAACTACGCAAAAACCGTAAATGTCTCGCATGCGTACACCTGAATCGCTTTTCTAAATGAAAGTCTGCTTGGGAATTTATGCGGAGAAAGGGCGCTACTGGTGGTTTGTGAATATCAATCAGGCATGGAAAACTGATTCAAAGAGGGTAGTGTTCTGAGATGTTGCCCCTCCCAAGTGTGACGTTATCCAGAAAGACTCCGCTGGAGTGACGACATTTTTTTTCTCGTTGTTTTTGTAGTCTATTTTTTACGTAGCCTACAGACCATACGCTGTAGTTAAAAGTACTGGATAACATCTGGTTAACATGCTATTTTACTGTTAGCCTGTTGTGTGACGCATGCGCAGATTAGTGCTTAGCAGTGTTTTCTGTCGACGCTCTTTGTTACCACGGTTACGGCACTGAGGCAAGGAAAGCCGGAGTAATAAATCTCCACAGCAAGGTGACACTTTCATTTTCCATTGCCTACTATTGTTTTCACTATTTTAATGTGATGGTGGTTTTAAAGTTTCAAAATGAAAACCAGCCTTTACTTATCTGACTTAGACCTCCTCGACAAAATGTGTTTTATTTCATTTTTGTACGCTTGATATTCAATTCAAGTTTATTTATATAGCGCCAAATCACGACAAGAGTCGTCTCAAGGCACTTCACATAATAAACATTCCAATTCATGTCAGTTCATTAAGCCAATCAGAAATAATTTTCCTATATAAGGAACCCAGCAAATTGCATCAAGTCACTGACTAGTGTCCGAGTCTTTACAGCCATCCTCATACTAAGCAAGCATAAAGCGACAGTGGAGAGGAAAACTCCCTTTTAACAGGAAGAAACCTCCAGAGAATCCCGGCTCAATATAAGTAGCCATCCTCCACGACTCACTGGGGATCAAGGAGACAGAGCGCACGCACGCACGCACGCACGCACACACACACACACACACACAGAAACTAAGCTATGTTTTTAAAACCCTAAAAACCATCACTAATCACAAAAAATGCGATGCTAAGTCTCTTTATGAGGCCAGTTAGGTCAAATATTGTGTTGAAAATGGACACACATTTTTTTATTATTCAAAAATGTTTGAGCTATCAAACTAGGTTACTATCTTGACATGATTAATGTTCTTTGGAACGTCAAAAGGAGTGGAATCACCTCACAAAACACCAGCTAAATGTTTTTGAAACAGTCTAGTTAATACAAGTTAAACTACTCACGGTCCTAGGAGCTATGTTGTCTGGGGCACTTTGTGCCCCTGGTAGTCTCCCATGACAAATTGGTCTTGGGTGAAGGGTGAGACAAAGAACGGTTCAGTGGATCTTTCATGGATGTAAATTCAAAGAGTCTGAGTACCTGGCCCGGAGGGTTACCGGGGTCCCACCCTGGAGCCATACCTGGGGTTGGGGCTTCTTTACCCTTGCTAGGGTGATGGAGGGGTCATGGGAGTTTGCCCAACCAATCCACGTGTTTTGTGGATTTGGAGAAGGCTTATGACCATGTCCCCAGGGGCACCCTGTGGGGGACGCTCCAGGAGTATGGGGCTTTCTGTTAAGGGCCATTCAGTCCCTTTACCAGAGGAGCGTGAGTTTGGTCCGCATAGCCGGTAGTAAGTCGGACCTGTTCCCGGTGAGGGTTGGACTCTGCCAGGGCTGCCCTTTGTCACCGGTTCTGTTCATTACCTTTATGGACAGAATTTCTAGGTGCAGCCGTGGTGTGGAGTGTGTCGAGTTTGGTGGCAGGAGAATCTTGTCTCAACGTTTGCGGATGATGTGGTCCTCCTAGCTTCATCCAGCTCTGACCTTCAGCTCTTGCTGGGTAGGTTCACGGCCGAGTGTGAAGCAGCTGGGATGAGGATCAGCACCTCCAAATCTGAGACCATGGTTCTTGACCGGAAAAGAGTGGCTTGCCAACTCCGGGACGGGGGAGAGGTCCTACCTCAAGTGGAAGAGCTTAAGTATCTCGGGGTCTTGTTCACGAGTGAGGGTAGGAGGGATCGGGAGATCGACAGGCGGATTGGTTCGGCGTCTGCAGTGATGCGGACGCTGAGCCGATCTGTCGTGGTGAAGAGGGAGCTGAGCCAGAAAGCCAGGCTCTCGATTTACCGGTTGATCTACGTCCCAATCCTCACCTATGGTCATGAGCTTTGGGTAATGACCGAAAGAACGAGATCGTGGATACAAGCGGCCGAAATGAGTTTCCTCCGTAGGGTGGCCGGACTCAGCCTTAGAGATAGGGTGAGGAGCTCGGACATTCGGGAGGGACTCGGAGTAGAACCGCTGCTCCTCCGGATCGAAAGGAGTCAGTTGAGGTGGTTTGGGCATCTGGTTAGGATGCCTCCTGGACGCCTCCCTGGGGAGGTGTTTCGGGCATGTCCTGCCGGCAGGAGGCCCCCGGGTCGACCCAGGACACGTTGGAGAGGTTACATCTCCAATCTGGCCCCGGAACGCCTTGGGGTCCTGCCGGAGGAGCTGGTGGAGGTGGCTGGGGAGAGGACGGTCTGGAGTTCCCTAGTTGGGATGCTGCCTCCGCGACCCGGACCTGGATAAGCGGAGGAAGACAACGACGATGATTAACAACTCCACTGTCAGCCAACTGGCCAATAAGGTGTGATCTTTCAAGCAGAATAAATTTGGAAATAGGCCTAGCTTTCCATTTACTTTTTTGTAAATCTGTATTTATTTTCAATACTCTCAACTTACTATAATTAACAATCGAATTAATTTTTGTGTGTGCTTCATTTTCTAACAATGGGGTCCTGTGCTCTGCAGAAAAGATATTTTAATCATGAAAGTGGTAATAACTTCTTTTTTTATACAACCTTTCAAAATGATTCTATAACAATGTGGCATCAAACCAAAATAATTAAAAAATAAAATAAAAGATATGTATGTTTTATAAAAGACAATCTAACTGAAATGTGGATTTTGTCTCACTGAATCAATGCTGCCTAAAGCTGTAGAAAAAAAACCATCATGGAACATAGTACCCCATTTTAAGTTCCAGATGGTACATCCCAGCCTCCCTTCCTCATGCTCTCCTTCCCCTCCCTCCTATTTTCAGCGTCCTCCATCTCTCCGCTGTCTCTCATTTTCTAATACTGAGGACATTTCCAACTTCCAGAGACAGCTCTGCCTCCTTTACACGTCTGTTATTCTTCTCATCTATGCATAGGTGTTGAAAAGGTAAATAATGTTCATATGTTTCATCCTAGTTTAGAGAATGATTTAAAATAATATATTTGTGTAAATAATGTATCCAGGCTACATTTTGTAACATTCAGGCTACTGGGACAAATCCACTCTACTAAATTAAGCCTCATTTGTTTTCTTGCTTATTTCATCCATCAAACTCTTGCTCTCTCCTCCATCTTGCGGCCCATTTCTTGCACATTTAATTATTGAGATATATTAATGGTGGGTGCATGCGCTTAAGTTTAACATCAAGATTAGATCTTTATGTATTTGCATCTGGACCAGGCTCTTCCCGAGGTCAAAGAAATAGAGATTCAAATCTCTTTTGCATTGAAGCTCTAGCATCCATTACTAAATTACCCAATTGTCCTATAAAATAGCTTAGCACAGGAAGCTGCTTTAAATGTAAATCCTACTTCATCTAGCAGTTAAGTCAGAGCAGCTGTGACCAAAATAAATATTTTCATGTCCCTGTGAGCATTTGGAGAGCTCCCATCAATGTCGTCTTTTCCCAAGGTCACATTTATGGCTTCACTGATTCAAGGCTGAGCAAACAGATGGATATCAGGGCCTCATTCATGTTTCAGTCTGTCTATAATCATCAGAGCAGATAACATGACGACTGCGTCTAATTTAGAAGGGTAATCTGTCTACTTCTGTGCTTTTATTTATTTTTCACCTCAGTGAAGCAGCACGAAGCTGACCTTATAACAACTCCTGACCACGCCGCACCTGTGTCTCTGAGTCCATGGAAGCTAAGGCCAAGTCTGGGGCTTCAGCACCCAAGGCAGCATCCAAAGCAGAGAAGAAGGAGCCAGCAGCACCATGCAAGGCTGACCCTGCCCCTGCAGCCCCTGAGCCTGAGAACCCCCCCTCCTCCAACGATGGAGGAACAGCAGCTGAATCAGCAGCAGCAGCAGGAAGTGAGGACGCTGCGGCCTCTGGCACAGACTCTCTGGAGCACCTGAAGCCTTTTCTCATCGGTGGCGCTGTTATTGCTGCAGGAGCCATCTTGCTGGGAGCGTTGCTCCTGGCGAGGAGAAATTAAAACCAAATTAGAAGAACGGCTGACTATATGGTTTGGATAAGAGATTGGAAAGACAATATTTTATTTATTTATTGTTTGTTTTTGACCTGATCTCACGTGTAGAGAATCACCCCATTTAAGTTTTTACCAAGGCTGTATATGGAGAATAATTACACTAATAATACACGCATGAAGTCTCAACAGTACAGCATAATGTAAAATTAATTAAAAATATTATAAAAAGACTTATTCCTCAGCTTGATGCCTAAACCTTTTAAACACAACTGTCTGCTTTATTTAGTTTAATCCAGCGTGAGCAAATATTGACCTGAGGTTGCAATATTTGTGCATTCCGACACAGTGAATGAGCTTGGTTAATTTTGTGTAAATATTTCAAAATTATATATCCACTGTGTTCATGATGTTTTTGAGCAATCACAGTTCTCTTACTTTAAAATAGAATATTTGAAAGAGTTGGTGAACGAACAGTCACGTTTATGCATAGCAAAGGATTATGGATCTTTTGTTAAAAGAAACACCTGCACAGGTGGAATTAGATATATTGAGATTAAGTATGAGCATGGGTACAGGCAACAGCTGACCTTCACAGGGCTAATACTGGCCCAGTAATCAACAAGGCCACCACTAATAATGTGGACTAGAGCCTATTTGTGGCAAGAATTTGCAGATTTCCTCAACTTTCCATCATTTTCCAAGTGTGTCAAACTGACATTTGTCATTCTGGAAAGAAAAACCTTTTTATTCAGTTCTGCCACTCAGGAATAAATCAGTGTTCCTGGGTTGATTCTGTGGTGTCACTCGTTACATCTACATTGTACGTTGGAGGCAAAAAAATATGGTAAACCTTTGTATTGAGCAGGGGTCTGCAATCTACAGCTCTGGAGCCAAGTACGGCTCTTTGGAGCTTCCACAATTGCTCTTAATAATGTATTCTAAAAATGGTAAAATACTAATTTTTAAAAAAATATATTAATATAATAATGCAGATTCAAGCTACTGTTCTGTATTTTCACAGAATCAATTGCATTCAATTTCCTCAACAGAATTACACTATTTTTATAACTTTCCTGAAATACAGAATGATATTCATACAGTTTTTGCAAAAGTTTTATTTAATTTTTCCTAATTTAAAAACTTAATCAAATCCCATAGAGAAGATACTGATAGAAGATAAAACAAGAGTTGTGACTATAATCTAAAAAAAAAAAAAAAAAAAAAAAAAAAAAGCCAGAATCATGATTTCAACCTCAGAATTCTGATTAATTTTTAGACATTTCTCAAAAATTCATTGTCTGTTTTCTGAAAGCCCTGTAACAGTGTGGGAAACAGCTCTTTGGATAGTAAAGGTTGCAGACCTCTGGTGAAGAGTAACAAAGACAAACTCATTGGGTTTAAAATAAACCAAAACATTATTAAACACTGAAATATGACACGTTCTGGGACAAAAGAAGAAGTTGGTTTGCGTGTTTATTCTAACCTCTATATGGGTTTGAAAGCCCACAGCCAGTCAGCCACTAGAATTGAGTCAATTTTTATGCCACTCTGTGTGTTTTCAAAGTCACCCACCAAAAATATGTAATGAAAGCATTTATAATAGCATAAAAGTAGTACTCATACTTCACTGAAAGGGGGAAAAGAATTTGTTACTGCACAAACACACCTGTACAGTGGCTCACTAGCCTTTCAGCTTGCAACTGTAAAACTCATCCGGTTGTCTCTGTTTAGTAGAAAGGTAGTTTTGACAACCAGAATGTATAGCTTCACCATATTTTTGACCCCCCCTAAAAAACTCATAAGAGCATATCACCATCACTAGACAGCTCCTCTGACATGTTCAAAAAGTAGTAAGTCAACACAAAAATAAATTTCACCTTACATTGTACAATACAGTGTACTCTTAAAAAACAAAAGAATATGAAAACTCCTATTTTCATAATTTCAACAGCGTATAAATGCAATAATTCAGGTAGGATTCCTCATTTAGCATATGTGCTGTAGCAAATGAAATTACATAGATGATGTATTACTGTATAATATTACTGATGGTAATGATAATGACATTTATCATGCTGACTGTAAAGATGACTATGGTGGAAATAATATGTATGTTTTATATTTTAAATATTTTCTTTATGCACCCTCCTCTATGAGTCCAATCATTTAAATGTAAAATATGACAAATCTGAAATTCAATCTTATTAAAGGCAGTGAACCAGTCCTATAGTGAGCATTTCTTTTGTGGATTCATGTTAATATTAATTTGTGTAACTATCTGCATTGGATGAAGATTTTATTTTTGCATGGTACCACCTTCAAAAACATTAGTTTTAATCAACTAATTTAGCTCTTTTCCTTAACATTCTGTCAAGATGGTATATTGAATTGCAATTGCATTTATTAGTTATATCAAGGAAAATGTTAGAGTTTTTAAACTCCTTTATCTGTGGTTACATGGATATTAATACTTTTGCTTCAAAGTTGTTTGTTTTGTAAAAGGAAAAATACATTGTGAGGTGAGTGACTTGACATGTTAGCTAAGTTTGATGGGAGTACTGCCATTTTTATACGCTCGTTTATGAAGTGAGCTGTGGTCATTATTCAGTAGCAATATTGTGATTCTAATGAATTGTTATTTCACTTTTGCACCACATTTATTAAAACCAAATAGACGAAGACGCTCACACGTTTTCCGTGTCAGTTTCCCCATTTTCGTTTTTTTTTTTTTGGGGTCAATTTTGCAAATCACAGGAAACGCTCACCTCTTATTCCGCTTTTATTTTGGCGGATTTTACCCGGAAGTTGTTTTAACGATATAAGGAGTGAGAGAACGCCATCATTATCGTGCTGGAGTTACTTTTACCAAGAAAATAGTACATTCATCTGATCTACAGCCTCAAAAGGTGAAACATATGGTAAAACGTGATAAACTAATGACGTGTGTAAGTTCGTTTAGCGGAATAATTTCAACAGCAGCTAACGCTAGCTGGTGGGCTAGTTACGTAGCGGAATACAACACTAACCATAAGATTTGATTTCAACCGTCTTTTTTAAGTAATTCGTTTTTGGACTATTGATTAATCCATCTGAAAAAAAAACTAAATACGTGTTTGCTTTAATCGTTGCAGTGCTAGGTTTTGCTGCATTAACGTTAGCAAAACATGCTCACATGGTGGTCTTACTGCGGTGGTATGCGGAAACATAAATGTAATTTAAGTTAAACGACTCAACTGTGATTGTTTTACATTGTTTTCAAACATTAACCGGGTTGACTTTTGTTGCAGGTATTTAACGATGATAATCCCTGTGAGGTGCTTCACTTGTGGGAAGATTGTGGGGAACAAATGGGAAGCGTACCTCGGTCTGTTGCAAGCGGAATACACAGAGGGGTGAGAAACAACCACGTCTAGCTTCACGTTTCATGATCTTTTTACGTCCGAAATTGTTCTGGCACGTGTTTGAGTAGCTTTTCTGCAAAGGTAGAACATTTCAACATTTGGTCACAATGCAGGCAAGCTAAATAACATTTAAAAAGATTGGGTTTAGATTTGTTTTTAAACCACAATGCCTTTCACCTTTCCTTATGGTTTTCAGCAGTGATTAAAACGTGTTTATGTAACATATCAGGACTGATTTTTGCCATCTCCCTCCCTAGTGATGCTCTTGACGCTCTTGGCTTGAAGAGGTACTGCTGTCGAAGGATGCTTCTTTCTCATGTGGATCTTATTGAGAAATTGCTGAATTATGCTCCGTTGGAAAAATGAATGTTGTGGACTTTGTAGCACCATTATCAGGGTGAATGTGTGTACTATGTAACCTTAAATTACGACCACAGAGAAGAATTTATGGAAACATTTTTCAATTACTGGATTTTTTAAAATAAAATGAATAACCTTGTTTTCTTTCGTCCATGCGTCTACATTTTATGTGGTTGGCAACGACTAGCTCTTCAGATCTTAGCTTTGGAAATTAATGGTTTTAATCGCATAGTTCATTTCATGAGATTGGAAAAATTGATGAATGATTAAATGTCTATTTCCTGTCAATGTGACATAATTTTACAGCTTTGTGTAGTTAGTTATAACAAAACACTGGAGGATTTTTTTTTATTTGTAGAATTTATACAAAAAAAAGAATGAAAACAAGTTATTAACAGGTGTTCACTACATGCATGTTGAAATTCTATAATACAAGAATGAATCTACACAACTTTTTCTTAAAACAAATCAGACATGGTGAATATAACTGATAAAAAGTAGGTTTCATACTTTCAAACATCCAATGTCTCAGCTTCAAAGAGTTTTGACATTTATCAACCTTGGTGCAAGAAAATGCTCATCTTTCCCCGGCAGGATTCTTCAGTCTGGGGAGAAAAGGGAACAAAACCAGAACAAAGTCAGAGTAAAAAAAATAAAGGGATGCCAATCTTTCCTGATTTCAGTTAATGCATTCATATTAAATTCAGACGTTAAAGAGCTGTATATTATCCTGATATTGTGTCTGACCTACAGTGAAGATTAGAATACAAATAACTGCTCATTTAAAATGTTTATAAAGGAAGAAATGCTCCCCTGACTCAATGTAATTTTTAGCATATATAACTTTTGTAGTTAAGTCTGTTTATCTTACCAGGTTAGTAGTATCGGTCTTTGTAATCTCGATGTCTTTCTCGCTCTCGTAAGCGCTCTTTGTCCCTGTCTCCACTCCAGGAATGTTCTCTATGTCTTCGAGACGTTCCCGCACCTTCCCTGCTGTAAGAGTCACTTCGGTCACGATCTCGGTATCGCTCTCTGTCACGATCTCTGTCGCGGTCGTGGTCTCTTTCACGACCTCTGTCCCGGTCTCTGTCTTTCTCTCTTGAACGCCTGCTAAAAAGAAAATCTTTAATTAGAAAAAAGCTTAACCCTCTAAGAAAGACAAGCACTCAAACCAAGTTTCCTAAATATACAAACCTGGTTTCACAGTTGCTTTGGATCGAGACTAAACAGTCTTTGAGTGAGGTGACCAAAGCTCGGCAGCGTTCATCCCCGTGCACTTTAGACTGCTTTATGATGGCAATCGCCGTTAATAGTGTCTCCATGGCCATCTGCTGCTCTCCTGCATTAGAAATTCAGGAAATAAGATCGTCTTTTAAAAAGCAGGTTCAGTGGGAAACAAATTTTTTTAACTTATTTTTGAAAATGATCAATGACTGAGTTTAACCATGAAAACAGTCTTCTACCCCTATTTCCTTCATTAGCTTTTGATAGACACTAGACGGAAACACACTCGGTTCAGAAAAGCCTGACAGATCTAGTCACACTGTCACTTAACATTCATGGACTCACCCATCTTGACTCGCGACGGGGAAATCTGTTGTTGGTTTACCGTCCAGGAAACGGCAGTGAACGTCTCGACTAGTAGATGCTAATGATTAGCATTAGCAACTCCACAACAGCAGAACTCCTTCAGACTTGTGTCATTTGTGGAGATAAATCAACGTTGCAAAGCAAATGTAGTCAGTGGTAGAGTCATGTTGCAGTTAGCCAATCCAAGGCAAGATATCCAAATATCAGGAAATAAAACTCTAAATCCTGCCGTCTGAAGCTACGTTCTCCTCCAGCTGGCATCTACGTCCTCAAACAGGCGCACCGGAGCTTCTTGTCCCCCAGAGTACGAACTACAAGGCATTCATTCCTACTAGAAACCACTGCAAATGTATTAAAAAACATGAATAAAGTTGACCCTTAAGAACTTTTTAGAGGTCCATCTTAAAGTACAAATGTACAATTTTTTTTTTTTTACCTTCTTATATTTGATTGCAATTGCACAATATGAAAGTATGCTTACTGGGATGTTTTTGCTTTTAATTACAACAGAACTCTTAAAATTTAAATCACTAGCCGCCAATAAAACAATCGTAAATTATTTAAAAATGTAAAACAAAAAGTACATTTTTTAAATTAGTATGAAATTCATTACACATTGGTAAAACTAATAAAATATCTGTTTCTTCTTGGGCAAGTATCTTAGATGAAAAGGTTTTTTTTTTTACCTGAAAGTTTCGACATCCTACAAGATGCCTTCTCCGTGACGACACAGGTATTGGGGAAACCAAAACTGTAAGGAATAATCCTTTCCCCGTGTGGTTTATGAGGTTCTGGGTACTTTAATTACAGCACCTGATCATTTGTACTCACCAGCTGTTGCCCCAGATATGGCCTTGGTGATTGCACTGCTGGCAATGGTCTGGTTTCTGCTCATTAGTTCTTCAAAATCGTCTTTGCTTTGAGAGAGTTTTCTGGACCAAAAACAGAATAATGTTAGCAAACAAGCCCGGCAAGCCAGACTAAATAAATACATTATTTAACTTTTAACTATTCAAACTTTGCAAAGCAAGAATTTGGTCTAGTTCACTAGGGTAATAGCAAGCAACAACTTTATTTTTCTCCTTTTTCCACCAACATTCCATAGGCTTTTGGACTATCGCACTGTGAAGAAGTCTTTTTTTTATTTCTTACAGTAAATGGCCTGTATTTCATACGGCACCTTCCAGAGTCCTAGATCGTATGGCGTTGATAACACAAAACATGCTCTTACGCTGGTTGGCTGTATAACGGTCTGCTCGGTCTTTCCTGTGTCTGGCTGAAGAAAGGAGGACTCATGTGAAAACCAGAAGGTGGTTGGCCAGTTGTCTGAGCAGGATGCAGCGAGAACAAAGGAGGTGGAATGAGTGGCGACATTACAGGTGGCATGTTTGGGAACAGAGGGGGTGGCTGAAGGAGGAAAGGACTGGGCGATGGAGGAAAACTAGGTGGAAATGAAGGTGGTGGGAAAGGTGGAGGTCCAGGAGGGTTCCTGGGCTGCTGTGATGATACTGGTGTGGAAGTCTTTTGTGTGGAAATAGATTCTTTAGAATCGGAACTAGCTTGTACGGGCATACCTGTGAATGAGTAAAAAGGTTTTTTTTAAAGAAAGTCAGTCAATAAATTTTGTGATATAATGAATTATAGCCATATCTTACGTTTATTTGCGATATCCTCAAATACAGAAAGATTCTGGAGAGTGGCATAACGGCACACTAATTTCTCCCCATTGATATGGCATTGTGGTATTTTTTCCAATAATATTTTAAAGGAATTTTCAGACAACACCACCACTTCTGCATAGCTGGAACACAAAGAGATGTGGAATACATAATTATGAATCCAAAGCAAAAGTATTTAGTGGTATTTTTAAATATATTTACCCCCTTGACAGGCCGTTAACTTTGTTTTCAGCAAATTTGATCTCTTCGACGTCCTTTACACCCAGTCTTTTGGCTATATTTAAAAGGTCTTCATCAGATGTCCACTGTAAGTAGAAGCATATTTTAGGGGAGGGAACATGTCTATGGATAAAAAGACAAAGTTTGACAAATAATTACAGTAAAAGGCAACTCAAGAGGCACTGCAACATAATTATGTATGTGGAGATGATATATATATAACAAAAGAAAAAAACAGCTTTTGCAGATTTCCTACAATAACACTAACTGGGTTGTACTGCTTACCCAAGAGAAATTCCCAATGTATAAAGAGAGTCTCACTGAAGAGTCTCTTCCTTTATGTGCATTCCCATCTTTTGGTTTATCCTCTTTTTTAGCCGAAGCTTCCTTAGTGATCGTCTTTTTGTCTTGATCAACCGTTCCAGTAAGAACAGCATCAAAAAGGTCGTTTGCTTCCAAATCCTGGGTGAGAAAAAATTAACAATAATGTTGACATTTTTGAACAAGAAACGCTTTTAATTTATATTTTCCACTTATTTTATTACATCTCTGATTTTGATTTTAAAATTATCTTAATTTTTTGCATAATACAACTCACATAAAATTGTAAGCAATGAACTTAAAATGTACAACGATTAACTTTAACATTTGATACAGATTAAATAAGCTTTCCCGTTAGGCTCACCTCATCGTTCGCATGCAAGTCGCTGTATATATCGATGTCGTTTTTGGAGGAACTCGGTTCGGCTGCAGGTTGTGCAGCAGCCATCGTGTGGGCCTCAGATGCCAACTGCAGGCACGGAAGCGTTTTAGTTGCTTCGCTTATTTTACCTGTTCAGTTTGCACAACAGCACTGTGCACATTTATGATGCACAACAAACACTGCCCCGATTTTTCTAAAATTATATACGTTAACGTCAGTTTTCACGCTAACCGTCCTCGCTTCGCTCAGGTCCGCAACTACTAAAAAAAAAAAGCTAAATCTTTAGCTAAAACAAAACACCAAAAAAACAATAAATTTAACGAACTACTAATTCAATTAGGCAGTAGTCTTTACCGATAAATTAACACATAACCAAACTATTTATCTCGCATGTTGGCTACCTGATAAGCTAACGCTCCTTGTTTTTTCACTCAGTGCGTAGGAAGTAATTCCCCGGTAGAGAACAACAATCCACTTTTTGGGTCCTAGGCTTAAATTCACATTAAGTTAATTTATTTGGGAGTTGTGCGAATATTTACAGATACACAAATTAACCAATAATGTTTAATATTTATTTCTGGTGGCTTAAGCATGTTTCTTTTATAGTTACATTTCTCTTTCATCTCTCAACCTCAACTTATGTGCGCAGTCGGAAGTTTGCCGTTGCAGCCCGGTGGTGACGTAAGAGCGTTTACAAGCTAGGCATACTTGTGTAATTTTGTCGAGAAAGACATTTGTGAGAAGGAAAACGCTTAAGTCTACCCACCGGTACAAGAAGAAGTTTAATATGCTGTCTTCTTTTGTTGCGAAAAGGGTGAGTTCTTGGTTTTTCTACTGTGTGTATTTTAAGATGTGAAAAACCACAACAGAGTTAAAGCTCTCTAATATCTGTTTTAAAAGCACGATCGCAAAATGTGCCGTCATGTTTGACCTCTTATAGCCTTGGTGCTACAAATGTTGGATGTTTACAATGTTAACTGTTGGAGGATGGTTGCACAACACGCTTGATGTCATATATATAAACGTACATATTATAATATACATTAACTAAATGGCTAAACCGTTATTTTAAAGGTAAATGATAGACATGTTTTTTGTGTCAACAAAAATAATCAGCACAGTCCAAGATCACATACATTTAAGCTGTAAAAGCACAATATTTAGAACCACAGGTTTATAAGACAGTCTAAATATTTTTTAGTAATCTTTACCAAAACATGTGCAAGGTTTCAGATGGTATAACCTAGTGTATTGTATCAACAAAATACATTGCATCAGTTGAACAACAGAATTTGAACACATCACAGAAGGAAATAATATGATTGTGTGTTTTGGTTTTCTGTCAGCTGCTTACAGGGGTTTGCCAGGCAGCATGGAGACCGTCAATCATAGGGATGGTATCATCCCGTGGTTATCGTGGAGACGCTCCTGATGGCCCCCAGGTTGACCTGATTGAAATCCCTTTGCCCCCCTGGGTAGAACGGGCAGATGAGCCCATTGACACCAAGAGACGTCGGCTTCTATATGAGAGTCGTAAGAGGGGCATGTTGGAGAACTGCATATTGCTCAGGTTTTCACACTCAGTCTTTTCTTTATTGTAATTGCAGGGTAACCGCGGGTCCTTAAAAAGTCTTAAATTTACTTTTCCAAATTTAAGGCCTTGAAAATCCTTAAAAATTACAAATAATCCTTAAATACAGTTTCCAAAGGTCTTAAATTACCAAAGACCCAGTAAACTAGATTATTTTATTCATTTTTGTGAATTTCTAGTTAGTCTTCAGCATTTTTTGTGTATAATGTTGGCGTAAGCGGAACCGTACACATTCAGTTGGTTGTGAAAGGGGGCTATTTTTAGATGAGCACATTAGCTGGTTAAGCTAGTGGGAGCTTGTGCCGTGGAGAAGTGCAAGTTTAATGGTAACTGGATGATTAATTCCACGTTCGCGACGTGGTTAGCACCGGTCCCAGGCAATAGCTGGAAATTATAGCAGAAATAAAATTGAAAAAAAAAAAGCTTAAATTTGGTCAAAGTGGCCTTAAATAAGGTCTTAAAAAGTCTTAAATTTGGCTCCCATAAACCTGCAGATACCCTGAATTGTCTGCCATTGAATTCACAATAATAGTATATGAGGTGACATTTTGGAACTTTACATATTTTAAGGCAACTTTGCTGATGCGGCTTCATGTATTTTTGAAAGTGCAGTCCACTTTTCAATTTGGAGTCTAATAAATGCCTCTTGTCTCTTGCAGCATTTTTGCCAAACGATACCTGAATAAAATGACCTATAGCCAGCTGCAGCAGTACGACAGGCTGATAAATGAACCAAGCAACGACTGGGACATCTACTACTGGGCCACGGGTGAGAGAGTGATTGTTTTTTCTTGACAGGTTTTTCTTGGACAAGCTTCTTATTGTTTATTTATTTATTTATTTGTTTTAAGTTCTATAGCTTTAACCTTTTCACCATTAAATATTGTGGATGTAGATTTTCTCAGTGTTTGCTGTCAAGTTATTTCACTAGCTTGGGTTAAAAAAACAGCCTTTGTGTGCGTCATTAAAAATGATCTTCTATCAGCACTTTAATCGATAATAGTAATGATTTTACCAAATGTTCTTCACTTCACTAACTATGAATCAAAGCAACAAAAAGTTAACAAACTTGCAGGAAGCCACCTCTTTGTTTTAAGATTTTAAACTTTGCTAAATCATTTACCATTGAGTGACTTCTTTTCAATTTCAATTTTTTCATTTATAAAGCACCTTCTACCACCTTAGCTGCGGCCCAAGGTTCTGAACTGGACATAAAAAATCTGAGTAATAATAATAAAAAAAATCAAATTGAATAAAAATCCGTTAAAACAAAAATAGACAAATAAAAGCTACTAAAAACTGCAATACAAATGATAAAAATTTCTTTTTCACTTGCTGATTTGAAACCAAGCTGAAAAATAGAAATATTGTAAGAATGGCAACAGCATATTATTTTGCAGCAGCCCGGAGTACAAAAACAATTTTCAGATAGTTGCGTTGCACGGAAATAAATGAGGCATTTCTATTTTAAAGCATAGCTTTTTAGGTTTTATAACCAGCTTTGGCTGAGAAAACTACTATATGGAAACATTTATTTACACATAAACCAATCAGATTTCAGAGGATCTATCCTGTTTGCAAACTTCAGAGCCAATTGTCTTATAGTTCAGCTTCTTGCTTTTAATCCAAGCAACATTTTAACTCAGAAACCTCACTAAATTGGATCCTTCTCTATTTACAGAAACGTATCCTACTCCTGAAGTCTACCAAGTAGAAGTCATGGAAATGCTGAAGGAGTTTACAAAGAACAAAAACCACGAACAGAGGTTGGATGCACCCAGCTTGGACTATCTGGATGAAGAGTATCAGCTGGATCGTTCTTAGAGACTTACCAAAGGGAGTGAACACGAGTGCAAACAACATCCAGAAAAAGCCACGCAAACTCAGCCTTGTTTCATGCTAATTTTATAAAACATGAAGTAAAAAAAGGATTCTCAACATATTTCATGCTGCATTTCTGATGGAAAAGGTATATCTAAAGTTGTAGCTGGCCTTTAAAGATAGAACTGTAATTAAGACACAGTATTAATAACTACTATATTATATGTGTGATTCATCACCATAAATGAAACTGGTTTGTTTGTGAGATGCATTCTGATTATTCAAGTTATAAATAAATACTAGAATATGTGTATTATTTAATAAATGTTCTTATTCTGGTTGGTTTCCTGCCTGACTCATGAGTGGAACACAAGAGGGTGCCATGACTGACAGAAAGCAGCAGCTTGTTACGTAACGAAGGTTGCTCATCCTGCAGTAACCTTTTCAGACACCAGATGGCAGCAGATCGCTTTAGTTTGCCTGCCTGTCTGGGTGTCCTGTGACAGAGGCCTATTATGTAGAGTTACAGTAGTCTTAAAGTTATTAATTCATATGCAATTAGACATCCATCCGCAGAAAAGTTTGAACTTAAATGGTTCGAACCAAACTGAAAGAGTTCCTTGAGAAAAATATTTAATTGAATCACTTTTATAAAATTTGGAGCCAATTTGTACCACGAAATTCCCGAACTGCTTTCCTGCGCTGTCACACTCGATCACTGGTTAAACTAAATGCTTGTCTAATTAAAACCTTGTAGACAAGGTTATTTTTATTTTCCCCCACCACAGAATCAGCACGTGTGGACTACAGGGAACATTTCTTGTCCGACTGTCTGTCATGTTGGTTCAGTGGAACCTTGTACTGATTGCGGAAAGGAGATGCCCTCTGGCCAAGAGATGTGCACAGAATTTCAAAAGGGATGACAAGCCGGCTTGTGCACGTCCATGGAATCATAATGCAGATATGATCCCCCGGTCAAGGTGTTACACAAGCAGGACAGCGTCACAGACCACGACGGAACAAAGATTCATTTGTTTTTTATGGCTCATTTATTTGTGAACTGAAAGATAATGACCTTCATTTTTTGTTCCTTTTTTTCTGCCTGCCCTGAAATAGAGCAAGATGATGTCAGAAGGGTTCCCCTCTGTGTTTTCTTTGCTCCTCAGCCATCTGTTTCTCCATTAGTCACTGGTGGAAATTAACCAGTAGATTTACTCAAAATGACTTTATTCCAGAACAGTTTTGAAACATGCCCTTGACTTCATAGAATTCAGTATTCTTTTTGTTTTTTTTGGACAGCTCTAAGGCACTTTAGAAGTTTACCTAAACATGGTGTCATGACACCTTTTTCAACAACGTACTTTTAACATCTCATAAGTTTGGAGCAGTTGGTTGGAACATTTTAACCGCCCTACCGGTTGAAAGTGGAATTGCAACTTTTGTAAACAATCCTTCAGCAGCCTGCTGTAGCTAGTGCTAACAACAAGCTAATACAAATACGAGCCAACTAATACTAAAATAAACCACAAAGTAAAAAGATCTACACTGTTGGACAACAAATATTATTAGTTAAAGTCCAGTAGCAACAAAGCCAGGTCACCACCAGTCTGTGATTTTGTAACCTCCTTTAACGCAAACTAGCGCAGGCCGTGCCGATCTGGCTTTAGCTCTTTGCTTCACCTCCAAATACATTACTCGCTTACTTTTACTTCAAGGCTCAGCCATGATGCTAACAAAAAGCAAACATATTTTTCTTCTTCATATGCTTTTTATTGACAATAAATCTTATGATTTTTTTTTATTGAGGGGTACCTCAGGGGTATGTTCTGGGCTCTGTTGTTCTCTCTTTGTCTGATGCACCTTGGTTCAATTTTACGGAAGCACAAGGTCAATTTCCACCTGTACGCAGATGATTGTCAACTCTACTTTCCCCTGAGACAGGGCTCTACAGCCACAGTTGTCACTACTGGATTTCCTAGATGAAGTTAGAGCATGGATGGCCTCCAGTTTTTTAAGTTTTAATGAGGGCAAAACAGAGGTAATCGTTTTTAGTCCAAGCGCTAGTCATGCCTCTAAACAGGAAGTTGAACTCTCTTTGCTGGCCTCTTTTAAAAAAGAGCTAGTCACTAATCTGCGTGTAAAGTTGGATGCACCACCAAAGCTAGAGACTCATATAAATGGAGTGGTGCGTTCGTTTTTTGTTCATCCTTGCTGTTTATCCATGATCAAGCCGCTAGTGTCACAAGCTCATCTGGAGACCGTAGTCCATGCTTTTATTACTTGTCACCCATAGGTGGAGATCCCAGGGGGGATGCGTCCCCCCCCTCACACAAAGTTGTCCCCCCCACAAAAGTTATTGTAAACACATAAATGCTATCAGTAAACCTGTATTGTCTTCTAAAACCACAACGTAAAAGTTAGTCTGCAAATACAAAACAATGTGTTTTTAATTGTTGAGAAATTATAGTCCCCCACCCCCCAATTCCTCAAGTTGGTACGGTCGGTCCACACTCGTTGTTTCCATCAGGCAGGGCTGCCGGCTCTGCCCCGCTCACAGCTTCACAGCAGCCCGCAGGCTCACAGGAAGCGGGAATCAAAAAGCCAGCGGTTTCCAGCAGTAAGTCATTTATCACACGCTTGTTCTACAAACTTAAATATGTATGTCAGATGTGGTCATAAATGTCAACCATAGACACGATTATCTTTAGATTTCGATCACCGGGGGCAGCAGTAGCTCAACAGGTTGAGCGGGTTGTCCAGTAATCGGAGGGTTGCAGGTTCGATCCTGGCTCCAGACAGAGAATTCTGCTGTTGTGTCCTTGAGCAAGACACTTAACCCCCCTTGCCTGCTGGTGGTGGTCGGAGGGACCGGTGGCGCCTGTGCTCGGCAGCCTCGCCTCTGTCAGGGCAGCTGTGGCTACATCGTAGCTCATCACCATCAGTGTGTGAATGTGTGTGTGAAGGGATGAGGGCAAAACAGAGGTAATCGTTTTTAGTCACTGTAGTGAAAAGCGCTTTGGAGTCCTTACGCTGAGAGGCGCTATACAAGTACTGGTCATTTATTATGTAAGTGAATCTTAAAGATACATTCTTATGCCAAGAAAGAGCTTATCTTCAAAACGCGACAAAAGTTATTTTAGGTTTTGTGTGAAAATACATCCAGTACTACAAATGCGCATCAACAAATAGACGTGATTGAACCCACATGGAGAAAAGCAGAAGGAAAATGGCTGTAAGTTTAACGAATTTTAATTCCTTCTTTCACGAGGAAAGAACCACCATAAATGTGGCCATGTGGTAAGTAGCAGCTATGCTAGGGTAGAGGAGATCCTGTGGTGACGTCTGATTTAGGAATTAAGAATTTATACAAGCTGATAAATCTCAAAGTATGTTACAGGCATGGTCAAAACACACATCATTATCCACCCATCCATCCGTCCATTCATCCATCCATCCATCCATCCATCCATCCATCCATCCATCCATCCATCCATCCATCCATCCATCCATCCATCCATCCATTTTTGGCCACTTATCAGTGCTACAACAGAGAAGTTTACATCCAGAATGAAAATAAATCGTGCATGCAGGAATCCCCTGATGGCTGATTCTACTTGCCAATCGAAAGGTGGTATGCATAATTTCAGCTTGCCAATCAGTCTGCAGTGTCACCTCGGTCCCAGTCGCACCGCTGGGGAGGAGGTCTGAAAAAAAGAGTCGCCTCAGACCGGAAAACACATATCTGACCCATGTGTGAAACCAAATTCTGGTTCCGTACCCGGACGTGCCGACACTAATGTGTAAGCTCCTTTAGACTCTTTAAAGGACACCTACTTGCTCCACAAAATTGTTAAGTGCAGCGTCTGGCCAGTAGAGGGTTGTAGAGTGGTGTCAAATATGAAACTACAGTTTCTAACGCAACAATCTCTGAGATCAATGTTCTAGCTTAAAGTTTAAAACACTATTTAGTGTGACTTTAACTTTAATACTGATCATTAAGGATGGTGAAAAAGAAACTGTCTTTTGCATTTGTCTCATGTTACACTGTCCTACTTTTACTCATAGCTAAACCATCTGAATATTATTTCCAGCTTCTAAATAATTGAGCACCATCCTAAGTGGCTGTCACAATTCTCCGCTTTACAAAAAAAGATGAAGAAGAAAGGATACCAAGATCCCACTTGCAGGGGAAGCACAATGCATGTCTCTCTATCTGTGAGGCTTGTTTGAGTGTTTATTCAGCAGTTTCCCACGCACACCCACTGCGCCTATCTGCAGCCCAGTGCTCCTGTCATTCTCCACTGTTGCTTCCTGTGTCGTGACGGCTCTCTGCTTTGTCCTCAGTGCTGCTTCCATGGAAGTTCACTCAAGTGTTTTTTCCCCCTCATTTCACTTCTTTTAGGCCCACCTATTGGTATGCTATTCTTCATCCTCTTAATGCTGAGATAAATGTTATCAGACATACTTTATGTTTCTGAATTCAGCTCTCTCTTGAAGATGCTTTGAAACAGACAGAACTCTGTTTCCTTAAAGGAGACATAATCTTACTTTTTCTTAAAGATAGTTCTATGTTCAATATAAAAAATGTTTATGAAATTCTTTGCACTAAATCCCTCTCACGTAAAGTGATTTCAGCAGTTTTATTCTTGACAGCTTCAGTACCTTCCAGAATGAGCCATTCCAGGGTTCTTATCCTGAAACGGAGGCATTTGGAGTCAGTCATTCATGCCTTCATTACCTCTCGCCTGGACTATGCAAACGCCCTCCTCGTTGGTGTTCCGGACTCTGCCCTGAATCAGCTACAGGTTGTTCAGAACGCTGCTGCCCGGTTCTTGACGGGTACACATCGACGTAGCCACAGTACCCCTGTTCTGGAACATCTTCACTGGCTCCCAGTCATTTTCAGAGTGCAGTTTAAGTTACTGACTTTTGTTTTTAAAGCACTCAATGACCTGGCACCTCCCTACCTCTCTGCCCTTCTCACTCCATATGTGCCCACTCGCACGTTGAGGTCGGCTGACCTTTTGCTGCTGTACACGCCGCGGATGAGACTAAAGTCACTGGGGGATCGAGCATTTGTGCATGCTGCCCCAAAGCTTTGGAACTCTTTGCCCATTGGAGTTTGGCAGGCTCTGTCTCTGGCGGTTTTTAAATCTTGTTTAAAGACCCACTTTTACACTTTGGCTTTTAGACAGTGACTCATTTTAGTGTTTTATTGTATCATTGTTTTAATGTGTTCTTAGTATTCATCATGTTTTACCTGCCTTTGATTGAGATTTTTATCCTTTGTTTTAGCTCCTTGTAACGGTTGTGTTTTGTTTTAGCCTGTGCAGCACTT